TTATTTTATATAACTTTATGTTTGCAAGTTAGTCTCAATGGCATATGCCTGTCTAGATTCTCCTGTATAAAATTAAGGTTAGAACAAACTCAGTATTAAACTCAGTACTGCTTAAGCAGTTCAAGATTATCATGAACAGATATCATGATCCAGCAGACCAGAAAAAAGTAACAGTGGTTCCCTTATCTGTTTTATTTTTGAGTTTTCAAGACAGGGTTTCTCTGTGTAGCCCTGGCTGTCCTGGAACTCACGCTGTAGACCGTGCTTACCTCAAACTAGAAACCCACCTGCCTCTGTCTCCCGAGTGCTGGGATTAAAGGTGTGAGCCACCACCGCCCAGCCTCTTACCTGTTTTGTTATAATGCCAGCTAATAAGGCCAACTTTTCAGGATACCTTCATTGTCATTCAAAAATCAGATATGTGTACGTTTTTATTAAGATTCTAAAAACTAATATTTTAATAACTAATATCTACTTGCTTAGAATTTCAATTTTTAATAGCATTTAAAGTTTTAATCTAAAGAAGATGAATGTAAAATTTCCTTTTAGAATTCTGACTCTAGTGTTTGGAAAGTTATAAAAGCAATTCTAAGTTCAAGTTTGATTTTTGATATAACATTTCTCTTGTTTAGCCATTTAAAATCAAGCAAATGCTCAAAGATTGTGTAAGGTCAAAACACAGGTAAAGGTTTGTTATATAACACATTTTAGCTCAGTGTTAATTCTTTAATTTTGTACAAGGTGCATCCCAAAGAGAAATTTTAGTTTTTCTTAAATAGCTGATCATGAGGTTAGTTAGTATTCCCTCTTGAGAGTAAGTGTTGAAGCGTAGACTTTATTCTTGTTTCAATTAACACAGATCACACAGGAAGAACCTGTTAGAAGCTGTCTGTGGGTGCATGGCAGCCCCTCCTCTTTCCTGTGCTCCCCGGTGTAAGAGGTAGGACCAGAGCCTCCCTCTACTTCAGCAGGGCAGCTAAGGGCTACACCTTATCTGGGCAGGCCTCCAGCTGAGCCAGAACACTAGAGAAATGTATAGATGCTTGTAAGTTTGTACAGATGAGCCATTAGTGGGCTTTTCCCCACGAGGCCAAGGGCTTCAGTGCAGATAGCTTTAGCATCATGGACTTCTCACCTAAGAACTTCAGAGTGAAGATGTGTTATGAGTAGGTTTTCCCTGTAGCTGGTCTGGTCTCACTGCCATGCCAGCCCCAAACAACACACAGAGACTCTGTATTTGATATAATGCCCCCACCTCAACCACGTGTGGTCCTATGTGCTTTCAGGAGACAAACATAGAAGACTACTAAACCCTGCCAAGTAAGACAGCCTTTCTAGCTCCCTGCTTTGTTGTGGTCTGTCAAGTACTCCAGGCCTTAGCCAAAACTGGGTGTACCAACGTTGCTGTGAGACCTTGGGTGACTGTCCAGGTTGCTTGCTGTTTCTGTCATTGCTGCACCATTTGGAAGTTGCCCATCCACACTTCCGCCTACCCTAGTATTATTATTTTCCTTCTCAGGTCTTTGATGAGGTTGAAGATTAAAGTATCACCACTATTACTCTCTCTCCCTAATTAGATATATTAGGTACTAGACTTACGTTTTCCAGCTTAGGACATCTCTATTGTAAACTCCATATTGCCCTCACCCTAGGACTAGATATGTAGGTCTTAAGTTTCTATGTTCTTGATTTTCCTTTTCTTAGAGCACACTTGTTATTCACTATTTGTATATAGTGGTTTTTTTTTTTTTTTTTTTTAATTTAGCCCAAATCTTTTCTTTAGACTAAAAGGGGAATTGTAGTGAGATATTCACCTTGTCAGCACCTGTGGCACAGACCACGCCCATGGGGGTGGAGACAGGGTCGGATGTGACCTGAGGGAACTAAGTCTGAGGAGGGGGCTAGGGGAGCTCTCTTGCTTGCAGCATGGGAACAGGGGCACTTCCTGAGGCATCCTTGGGACCAGGAACCTGCTGGTTGGTGTTCATCTGTGTTGTTGTTGTGAGTTATTTCTCCCTGAATAAACATCTGTTCGGCCTATTTGTTTCTCTTGATCCTTATTAAACATCAATAAAGATGTGTGTCTTCACAGGGATTGCTAAAGGAAATACATTTCCAGTCTGTGTTTGAACTGACTTCCTTCAGAATTCCATGTTACTCCTGCATTGTTTTTCCGCGTGTTGTTCCAGGTTGTAACGTGTTGTGAAGACCAGTTACTCACCTTCGTGCTTCTTTCTAGTGATTGCTAATCTTCATAGTGAATTTCCACAAGCTGGGTCTCCTTTTCAGATTACGTTACAGAATCTCTGTCCTGTAGATAGCCAAGCATCCATGCCTCCGTCTGCCCTCTCTAATCACTGGGCTTTGTCTTTGTTCTGGTGTGGGGAGGGTTTGGAGGACAGTGGCTGTGTGTGTGTTGTTCGTATGTGTGCCTTTGGGGCCCTGTCATGCCCTTTCCCAGTCCAGGGGTGTTCTGCTGCACTAACTGTTGCTGGCATTATCCCACAGCATCTCTCTTCCCAGTTGTCACCTGCCTTTCAATGTCCGAGTGACATGCCCCCTCCATCTGCCCTGTCCTTGCTCATTTTTATCTCTAACGACTTTTTACATAGTTCTGGTATGGAGTTTACTTTTATGAATGGTATTTCTGCCTTGCCAGCAGATTTTCTTGACACCCAAATCTTCTTTTTCTGGGTTCCCTGTACTCCCAGTGTTCATAGAGTAGCAATTCCGCAGGTCTTTCTAAGAGGGTTGCTGAACTCACCCTGCTGTCCTTCAGTCTCTGCTCCCTGAGCCCCTCCCCCGATGGCCATGGAGAGCTGGGCTCCTTCAGGAGCCCCAGACTTCACTGGCATTAGACTGCTTGAAATAAGGGAAATCTGACACCGAGTTCATGTCATTTCAGGAGGCAGCATGCTTCCAGACAGGCCTTATGTTTATATGTGTAGCCAGCGTGGCCTGTGCTGGTCCTGTTGGCATTCTCCCATTTGCCCAGTGCCTGAGCTTGCTTGCTTCCATGGAGAGGCTTGTAGTGTGTAGTTCCTGCAGAGTCCAGTGCGAGTTTCAGTTCCTTTTTTTTTTAAATCTGGGTTTTGTCCTTTCTGGACAGGCACTGAGCTTTAGTCTAACATTTTTATTATGTATGAGTAATAGACAGTGCACATTGAGGTTGTGTAGATGTAATTTTGTTAAATGCACATCATGGTAGATTTAAAACTGAGGGATTTATTTTGTCATTCATAAAGTTGTAATACAGTCTGGAGAAACTATTTGTTAAAGATAGCATCTACTTAACCTCCTTATTTATTTCTTGTAAGAGAAGGTTAGTTCCACAATAAATACATGGAGAAATAAGTAGATAGGGGAATTTATCTTGGAAATAAGATCCCTGTCATGGTTTTGAAATGCTAAATGCGTGAAGACCCGTCAAAGAGATATACGGACATGATATTTTTTGCAGTGCATTTCAAGGTGTTTAGTTATATATGTCATTCTCCAGTACGAGTCAGCAATGATCAAATGATACAGTGATTCCAGAGTCAGGCCATGCTCATTGTGCAGACAGTGTCTCCTCACGTGCGTGGGAAGAAGTAAACTGGCAGGCTTGCTATTAACGATGCATTTCAGATATGCTACGCCATTAATTAAGTATTTGGTATTTTTAACTTACTTCACATTTAAAACATTACTTCGTAAATATATGTACTAAAGAAAGCTGACGATTTATAACTGGATTCCCAGAGTTTGTTGGACTCCATTGATTTGTTAAAGTAATCTGCCTTTCACACCAAATTAGAAGGTTGGTTGTTCATAGCTAAGGACTCTTTTCCTCTCCTGACAAAACTCTAGGGAGTCATTGATGAGGACCCTGGCTAATGACTTTATGTGAAAGCGTACATACTCTGTAACCCCATGTTGGTGATGTAGAACTTAGTCATTCTAGTCTTAGGTTTTTTCTCTGGCTGCCTTGGTCTCTGTTTTCTGGTATAATGCTTACCAGCTTCTTACACTTGTATAAATTTAATTGCAAATTTTAAGAAAATGTTCTCTATTTGATTGTTCATTATCCTGAATTAATTTGTTGAACACTACTGTTCACAGACATTGCTGAACACTCAGCTGCACCAGAAACAGGAAGTAAATTTTAGTGAGGAATTCATAACAGCAAGTTGAAAGGTGCAGAGGAGGTGAGCTCTTGGCTCTCCGTCCCTACCTCTGGGGTGCTGGAAGATTAAAACTGAATAGAAATTTGAAATATTTTCTTAAAGGCATATTGACTTATTATTTTTAGATTTGTTTTTGTACAGGAGATGATTGTACCTTCTCTAGCTTGTTATCATTTTAGAAAAGTGATTGTAATGTCCACCCTCAAAGTTCTATGCCGGCCCAGCCCCGCTTCACCTCTGAAATCAGAGGAGATGAGCGTGTTTGGGGTGGTACAGCTACAGACTTATTTTTGTCAAAGAAAACTTTTTAATGTATGCATGTCAACAACCCAGAGGAACCTTTCAATTGGGAACCATTGGGGGTGGGGGTCTCCCTTCTGTCCCCAAGGAGCATGCTAGCTCGGGGCTGTGGGGCTGCTCAGGGGCGGCTCTCCTTACAGCACAGTCGCCTCCTGGCAGACAGCAGAGCTCGTGTGAGCGCTTGAGTATGGATAGCATTTCATTTAGCCTTTGCTCTGACAGCCCCTGCCCTGGATAAGTGGTGTAGGCCTGTACAGGTGAAATCTATTCTCACTTCTGCCTCAGGGTGACTGGACTGTAACAGAATTTTTCAAACCCGTTGGGCCCAACCGCAAAGCAGAGAATAAATGGCTGAAGTGCCAGGCCTCGACAGAAAAATCAATGCCTGGTTATACAGACATGACAGAGCCAGCCTGCACTTCCCTCTGCAGAGGGTGTGTGCACCACACTTCGGGGTTAGCACACTCTATCTGGAGGCACAGGTGCCAGCGTGCAGGTCAGATTTACGTTGTTTTTTCTCTCTCCTTCATGCAGGAAATTTACATGCCACTTATGCGATAGAAGTTTCACAGAGAAATGGGCCTTGAACAACCACATGAAACTCCACACGGGAGAGAAGCCTTTTAAGTGCACCTGGCCCACATGTCACTACTCATTCCTCACGGCCTCTGCGATGAAAGACCACTACAGGACGCACACAGGTGTGTCACACCCCTTCTCCATCAGGGCCCTGGCCAAGGGAGGCCTGGCGGGCTGCAGGAACATGTGTATTGCTTTTCTCGATAGCAGCCATGGTGAACATAACTCCCTTGCAGAGGTCATGGTAATTGTATTTGAAATTAAGATAATGGTAATTGCGTATGAAAATGTTTTTCACTCTTTGCAGTGTTGGTCAGGGCTTCTTTAATGTGACAGTTTAGTGTGAGTTACACATGTGTTTAAACGGGACAGGTTCCGATTTGAAAGCTCATTTCTAGTGTTTGTGTTGAAACTCAGCTTTTTATATGTGACCCTTGCTACACTGCATTTTATGTTTTTAAAGAGAACCAGTCTTCTCTTTGCTTGTACTCTAAATCCCTAATTTTTAAACATACCGACTCTAGGTTTTATGTGCCATTTCCTAAATCTAAGCACTATAATCTCTCTCTTTAGGAGAGAATCTTTTCGGACCCTAGAGTACTTAGAATGCAGAGACTAACTTGCATTGAGTTACTAGATGTCTTCAGAAAACTGCTTTAAAAGCTCGCATTCGCAGGAAGTTTGTATTAACACATTAAAAATAACCTTGTGTGATATAACTCAGCCATCTTGAAACTCAGTCTGTGGAGTATGCTTCTGAGGTTGCTCAGTTGGGGCCTTCACCAACTCCTATCCCATCATGCCCCACACCAGGAGCTTTGTTACATGCTCTTCATAGTCTTAGTACAATGGGCCCAGCATTTCATGGTGATCTCTGGGTATTTACCTCATATTTCCTACTATCAGCTATTTAGTATTTTTGTGGCTTTCATTCTCTTTGTGCTACTGAGATTATATTCCCTGTAGGAAAAAAATAATAAATTTTAATCAGCATCCAGAAATGTTCTTCTGATTGTGGTGAATCCTGTATTATTGTTAGAAATTATAGGTTGAAAGTTCTCCTGCAGCAGTTTGTGGTAAGCTCAGGCCTCCTTAGCTTCCTTGACAAGGGTGTTGACGATTTAAGGTCTCCAGCCTGCCCTGAGAGATCACTTATATCGAACAGCAGATGAAAAGCCAGTGCAGATGTAATTTATCGTCGGCGTTTCCTTCTAAAGAATAATTGTGGAGACTTGGCTGGATCAATAATATGGATTTTTGTTGTTAGGTCTTGTAGTCTGCACCATAATGAGAGATAGGGGACAGTGGCTGTTTTCTAATAGAAAATAAAGGATTGGTTCCGTGTCTTTCTATGTTTGAATGCAAAATGGCACACTTGAAACTAATTCAAGGTGTTATTAAAAGAAGCCTTCCATTAAATCTCTGGTACCATTTAAATATGACATGTTAAAAGAACCCCTTCTTGGTTGAGTAAAATATCTCATTGAGTTTTTCCTTAATTTCTTTTCTCAAAAAATATTCTTGGCCCACTGTTCAACAGTTACCCACCGCTGCCCTCCACTCTCTCTCTCAAAAAAAGGCAAGTAAAAATTGAATTTGAAAACAAATCAAACCACCAAGGTAAAATTGACATACAGTGCATCTGAGACTACCCCCTTAGATAAAACCCAGCACATGGGAGAATCAAGGTCACTAATGTATCTAGAGTCAAACCATGTGGAAAATGACTAATTTCACCTTTCCATGTGTGTATACCATGGAATGGGAAAGAGAGTAGACCCTAATGTGTGCAACCTGAACGCATGTAGCGATTGTTAAATTCTTATTTTTCTCCTATGTTTATTAACACATTTATTTTGCAAGAAAGAAATAGGTCACAAAGATCGCATGGAGGGAAGGATAGTAGCAGGCTTGTCTGGAATGAGGGTGTTTGCTCTTGCTTGGCCATGTCTGCTCCCCTCCTTAGTATGTATGTGCATGTGTACAGAGGGCACAAATCCAGTTCTGCACTGCAGGCCTTCTGCCCTGTGCATGTGTAAGAACACATGTTTTCTGCCAACACACTCAAGACTGCCTGCAGAACTGGTGACGAGTAAATTGCCGAGACGAGTTATGCCTCCACATTAAAAAATGCTGATGTTTAAAAACAAATCGGTTTTTGGTTAAAAAAAAAAAAAAAAAAAAAAGGCTACTTCAGTGTTATTTAATTGATAATGCAGCTAGTTAAAAAGATTTATATTTTAAATTGATTAAATAATTAGATGAGTGATTATAATTAAACTTTATTCTTCACAGCCCATCTACTCTATTTTTCCTATATGGAAATAATGACATCAAGAAATTAAGTGTGACCCCCAAAGTAGGATAGCAAGAATGTTTTATTTTAGCTTTGTCTTTGGAATGGTGTGGGCCATCTGAACATTCCTTTGGAAATAACACTAGGCTTACTAGTGCTTTCCTTTCAGTTAGGAAAACTGAAAACTCTCTTAAGCAGCTGCTCTTCGGATTGCTACAGTTATTTTTCTTTGTTTTTGTTATTTTAATCTTACAAATACAGTCACTCTTGGCAAATGCCTTTTATGGGGAACTTGTCATTTTAAAGTCTGAGTGACTGAAGTCCAGGAAGATGGATACAAATGATTTGCTTTATTTCTGGAAAAGTCTTTTATAATTTCATTAATTTCTGCCACGTCTTCATTTTTATTCTGTTTTGCCCTTCATTGCGAGTCTTATGCGAGGATTTGTCTAGCTAGCCAGCACGTGTTGGCTAAATATACTACAGTAGAATGATACATGGTACTTGCAGACTAAAGGTCAAAAGTTAGCATGTGTAAACTGCTACGAAAATAAGCATTTGCACACTTAGCAAGCCCTCATTTTCCAAACATGCCTTTGCACCTGCTGAAATGTCCAGGCCAGGGCTATCACTGAGGATGAGGGAGAGGAATTTTTACAATTTTTTTTAGCAATCCCTGGGCTTCTTTCTTACGCCATAACTTCCGAGAAACACAAACAGCATTGAGTATCTCCTGGTACTAAGTAATGTGAGTTTCATTTCCTTTGGATCCTCAGTCAGTTCAAAGAAACCATTTAATTCAAATTATTAAGTGTAAGGTGATTAAAGAAGATCCTGATAGAATCAGGTAAAACCAATTCAGTGTTCTTAGGTTGTTAAATAATTCAATATATTTTATTTAAGCAGAGTTATATATACTGTATATTAACTATTCCAAGCAATCTTTACTCAGCTCAGAAAGGCCAGATGTATGGGAATTGTAAAAAATCAGGATATGCATAAAAACTGTTCAAGTGCATAAAGCAGCCCCATCTGGAAGACATCTACTAGAAATGAAGTTGTACAAAACCATTCCATTGATAATAAAGCTAATTTTTATGGGTCTGACAAGTATGTAATTATGTTCAGTGGTGCTTTTCAGATTTTATCACAGTCAATAAACCGCAGTGGTAATTTCATTCCCATTTGACATATTTACATGGAAACATTTGATTGGAGGAATTAGTAACCCTGAAAGCCTTGATAGATATGTTTTAATGATCTGTGACCTCCGCAGTCCCTCATCTGTTTATTGTTGCAACAGGCGAGAAGTCGTTTCTCTGTGACCTCTGTGGCTTTGCTGGTGGGACCAGGCACGCCCTCACCAAACACCGCCGGCAGCACACAGGTCAGTATTGACTCTGCTCCTGGCTTCTCTCTGCAGACGTGAGCGGTTAGGTACCTAAGCACCATTGGTCTCATGGCTTGTTCTCTTTTTTATATGTTTTTGCAAATGAAAAACTTCTAAAGACCTCACATACCTCACAAATACAGAATGTATAGAAGTTAGTCTCTTGTTATATGCTTAAAAAGTAGTCATCTATGTATTTAAAGCTCCATATACCCTCCTGAACTTCATCTTAAGTGGGCAAAAGAATCAAGTTGCCCAAGGCCAGGTGTTTGAAGTTGTTTGAGATCTGTCTACGAAGCTCAGTCTTAGCCTCCTGCCTGGGTCCTGGGGAGCCCATGTTGGGCCCTGTCTGTTCTCTCCCTGTGCCATACCACCCTTTCCCTTTGCTCCTTCATTATAACCCTTCTGTCTCTCTGCCTGCTTCCTATATTTATCAGTCAGTCTCTGAGTCCATATGGTGGTGGTGGGGGGGGGGGTCTGTGCTGTGACAGTTATTCTGTGCTGTGGAGAGAGAATAATAACAAAGACACAACATGAGAGATAAATATGAGCCTTGGAGAAATGCCTGTCCCATGATATCAGGGAAAGAAAGTGGCCTCGCAGATAATCATTCTGATAATTATAGTAACATGTGTCTAGGGTAGTGCTGGCTCACTTTTGTGCTACCATGAAATTCGTGTGTTAATGAACTGGTCACTAACTGTGATACTGTCCTTTGTGGGCCATGAGGATAGTTGAGTTTGACAGTCGTCACAGTCCATGTGATGTGAAGTCCAAAGGTCCACCCCTTACATAGGAGAGAACCATTGTGAGGGCGTGGCTCCTGGTAGGATTCCATCCATGCTCCAGTGGATGGGCTCGTACCATGCAAACACATGTATCTCTAACCTGGTGTCAAGAATAATGGAGAGTATATATGGTCCTAATCGTGTACTACATGAATGAAATTACTTACAGAGCATTGGAATTTTTGAAATGCTATGTTATACAGATACAGGCAGGTTCATTCCTCAATATTGTACTTTGAGGATCAAGAAGAGGAATCTTATTCATTGCTTTTAGATCTTCAGTTTATTGTGATGAAATTTCCATAGGGATAAGAACCATTAAAATGAAGGTAAATTTCCGATTGCTGGCATGTTGAAAGCATAACTTTAGAAAACATAAACCACATGTCCATTAATTGCATAATCCCTATGTAAGGATTCAGTATAAGGTAGATTGTGTGGGTGGGTGCTCCCTGTATTGTATGGCAAATGGAGAGAGAGAGTTGAATAAATATGCAGTAACCATGCAGTCATAGGGTGTTTCATCCATATTTTCAGCTCAAAATTTTATGATTTATGTGGCATTTTGGCCCTGCTGTCCCTTCCCATTGGCTCCAGGGGATAGCAGACTCCCTTGGGGCCCCTCTCCAGTGGTAGTGTTCCCTTGCCCTGCAGTGGAGGCCGTGTACTGCGATCCCAGACTTTTCAGGTGATGGATCGATCAGGAAGCCTTCATCGAGCCGGCACAACTTTATATTTTATGTCAGGTCCAGAGGCTCCTTATTACTTTGCTATTAACTTTATACCGTATAGGACAATGTCTCAGAGACAGAGGTATCTGTCTTTCTGGCATTTATCTGCCTCTGTGGCACAAATCAAACACGATTCTTTAATACCAAAGTCGGTTCTTAAAAGCCTTGGCCTCCACACACAGCACAGTCCAGCTCAGTCTAGGCACTTGGCTGTTATGTTGACTTGAGGTGTTTAAGCAGCGCACACCTTTTTCCCCGAGGCTGGACTTGATGGCTCATTTGAAATCTTTGATGTGTCTGTCTTTCACGTGGTTTACCTTTTTACCACAGTGTTCAGGAAAATTACAAGTGGTTCAGAAAGGGTTAGGTATCCAAAGTGGTCTGCATGGCGTAAATAATTCCTGACTGAAACGCAGGCTGTCCAGGGTGCTGACACGCAACATCTTCCATTCTGAGATTCACTTTTTCACCTGTCAGAGACCCTTGATCCAAGGGCACAGGCACCGATCCTCACATGCAGTTAGAGAGACCTGGCCAGCTTAATAACCACCAGCCCACCCTAAGGAGCGGGAAGTGTGATTTCCAGGAGATGCGCTTGGCCAGCCTGACAGATGGTTGACATGCACAAAGACAGGGCACTGTGGCAACAAGCTGTCCTGGTGTGTCTGTTTATCCTTGCTTCCTATCAGTAAAGCCTGAGCAGCGAGGCTTCTCACAGGCGTTTTGGGCGGGGCTAATGCTTATAAAGGGAAGCATGGGCTGAGAAGAGCAAGCATCCTGGTAGGGTAGGTCCTGTCGCACACGGCAGAGCTGGTAAGGCTGGTTACAAGAGCGGCAGGGACTCCCCTTGTTCTGCCCCGTGGGTTTTCAGAGTTGTGGCATAGTCTGGCCGTGAGTGTATGGGCTCTATGATGCCTTTTGACTCTATCTCCCAAGTAGCTGGGACTGCGGTGTGGTCTGGGCTTTAAACTAGAATGTGCCCAAGCCCCTGTTGACTTACACACAGTGTCATTGAGTAGTTACTGTATTATCTCAGGTGGGCTGTGGCTTCAGAGTGATAGACAAGTCAGAAGTAGGATTCCCATCAGTACTCTTAATGAGATCTCTTCAGAAAAGCCCCACCCATAGACACAGAACTAAGGCTCTTCTGAGAGACAAAGAGTTGGTCTTCCCCAGGTGAGTATCCAGTACCAAGTGGTCAGCAATGGAGTTCTTCATATACCAACAGCATGGACCTGGCAGTTGTAGCTCTCTCTCTCCCTCTCCCTCCCCCTGCCCTCCCCCTCCCCTCCCCTCTCCCCTCCCCCCTCCCCTCACCCTTCTCCTGTGTCTGTATATAACAGTAGTTAATAATTAAAGAAAAAGAGGCCATGCATTTGAGAGGCTTGGTGAGGGCGTGGGAGAGGTTGGCAGGAAGAAATGATGTAATTCTATTAGTTTTTAAAAATTAGGAAAAACTCTAACACAGCAGGCCTACTCATCACATTTAGAATGATTTCTAGTTTCAAACAACTATCAGATATTTAGTAATTTGAAATTCTTGTTTCAAACTTTTAAGATTTCTTTTGAGTCATCACAGTTGGGGTTTGTATTAACCTTTCTGCTATGTGGTAATACTGGTAAACATGAAGGTATGTTTTTCTGCATTGTATTTTTCCTGAAGAAGTTACTCATTTTCTTTTTCTGTGTGTGTGTGTGTGTGTGTGTGTGTGTGTGTGTGTGTTTGCGCGTGCATATGTGCCTGTGTGCGTGCGTGCGTCTGATTATTTGAGACAGGATTTCTCTATGAAGCCCTGGCTGTCCTGAACTCACTCTGTAGACCAGGCTGGCATCGAACTCAAAGAGATTCACCTGCCTCTGCCTCCCTGAATGCTGGGATTAAAGGTGTGCGCCACCACGCTCTTTAAAAATTCAGAAATATACGCGCTCCAAATCAGATATCATGGCACATATTTGAATAAAGTGTAGCTTATATAAGTTGGCATGTACCCTATCAATATTTCAGCTGTGTCTGGACTGAGTCTTCTCCTGAGTATTTCTATGCATAATATTTTGTACAAAGTTAGTTGCATCATATATTTCCCTGCCAGCCTGTATATAATTCAAAACATGTTAATATACCAAATTTAATCTGGTGCCGTCAAGGCAAATATGAAACGGCAGCCTCCAGTTTACCATAATACAATAGTAGCTGATTGTAAACTTCTAATTAAATTATTAGAAATGACATTTTATAAATGTGTATATTTTTAAAGTGTCACCAGAAATTTCATGAAAGGCTTAAATGAAAGATCTTACATTAATCACATATTTAAAGCAACGTTAAGCTTCCAAACCAAGAAAATTAAGTTAGAGTTCTTTAGATGTTTAATTTGTACACCAACCTAGTAGGGTCTCTGGTGCCACCGTTCACTACTTCTGTGTGCCCGCCACACTCATGCGAAGTGGATAACCTGCAGATGCTCCCAAGGGCACTACAGTGAAGGAAACAGCCGTGTGGAAGCAGGCACAGGTGCGTAGACTAACTGGGTGGGAGAACGGCCATACAGCTGTAAGTATCTCAGTGACCAAATACAGCTGTTCTCATAGTGTGGTTCATTATATGCAGAACAATAGCTAGCTGTGCTCCTGCCATGGACCGTGTTACTACGTGAATGGCATATGTGCATGAGTCCGTTGTGCATAGGTTACATGTCAGTTATCTTTAAACATGGCATGATACTCAGAAGTCTCATGAAGATACTCCAAGACCATCCCATTGGAAGACAAGAATCACTGATTATTGTATTTAAATGAGTCCTAAATTAGGGAAATGGCATGGGTACCATTGCTAAGACTTAGGTTCTTGCCACATTGAGCCTTGCAAACTCCTTTTCTAAATCAGTAAAACTAACTCAAAATTCTTATAGAAATGCAAAAGTCTGAAATAATGAAACAAGGTTGAAAAGGAATAGAGTTCCTACCCTCAAGGCTAAAGTGACAATAGTCAGAATTACCAAGTATTAGCATCAAGGAAGACATATTTGTCAGTGTAACAAAAATCAAAACCTGTGTTCTCAATTGATTTTTATAGGGAAATCAAGGTAGTTTATACCACTCAGCATGTAATATTGGATTAATCGGGTATCTGTTATTCAGTAAAATGAGCTTAAAGACATTCTTCATACTGTATACAGAATAATTAATTATACATTCTAAGCTGTATATAAACTCTACAGAAAAAAAAGTGACTTGGAATCATCAAAAATTATTATTATGGTAATAGCATGCTTTACAAAAGAACAAATAAATGAAAAGTGTAAAGTAATAAATTAATAAGTTGGAAATTTTATATAAAAGCAATCACTAATGGCACTGAGAAAGAAAAGAGTCACAGACTGGGAGAAAATCTGCTAGGATCGTAAACGTCATCGCGGTCAAGGATTTCCGTCTGGGACAGAAGAGGCCTCTCAACACTGCCGAGGAGGGAGGCAGCCAACTAGTGGTGGCCAGTAAGCGTGTGGGCAGACGCCACTGTCCATTGGGAAGTGCAGGGTTAGAGCACTGACCATATCAGATCGTGGGAACTCTCGTGTGCAGCTGAGAATATGTAAAATGGTAGACAGTTTCAGAAAGTCCTTTGGTATCCACCCCAGCATAAATACATATAGCCATACCACTTCTGGAAATTTCTCAAGACTGAAAGGCAACATGTCTATACAATGGCATACCTATCTATTGTTGACAGTTTACAGGGACCCTCAGATGTCCTTCAGTTAGATCAGTGGTCCTCAGCCTTCCCAATGCTGCCGTCCTCTAATACAGGTTCTCATGTTTCAGGGTTCCATGTTGTGTTGACCTCCAGCCATGAGATTATTTTCTTACTACTTCATACTTATAATTTTTGTGATGTTGTGAATTGTAATGCAAATCTCTGATATGCGTGATATCTGTTATGTAGTCCCCTAAGGGTTGCGATCCACAGGTTGAGAAAGACTGAGTTAGAAGCACAAACAAACCATGAGATAATCAATACAGTCCCTGAGGGAAAAGTAATTTATATCCTAGCAATATAGCTGAATTCCCCCCCCACACACACACACACACAAAAACCCAACTCTGTAGTAAACGATATGCCATGGACTACATGGACTATATGTATGTTCTCTTTATATAAATGTCTAGAAGATAATGATTACATAGAATAGGAGAAAACAGGTGAGGTTTGGCCTTGCAGCAATCTGGTGAATGGCAGATCAGGGAATCCTTTATGGGTAAATGGTGTTTATTATCTTGATTCTGGTAGTAGTTTCACCAATAAAAATGAAACCTATGTTTATATATTGTGAAATTGCCAATGATACCCTTTTGAAATACTGCATTATCTAGACAGATGATATCAAATTGAATAAATAATCAGCATATGTTTGTTGCTTTTCTTTCATTTCATGTAAATTGTAGGTTGGCATTGATGCTCAACTAAAATGCTGGTTTTCGTGTACAAATTCAGCTCTAAAAATACAATATTTACTTTTGTGCTTGTGTTTAGTTACGTATCTATTTCCAGGAGTAGAATATTCTTAATTAAATTTGAACAGATAGTATTAGTTCCCATCACACTACAATACAAATATTGTATATCATTTCTTGTATTAAACCAAGTCCCGCCATTGTGATGAGCTTAAGTTATTGCTATGAGTGTTTTTGTGTGTCCATGTGTATGTGTCTGTGTGTGTTATGTCAAACATTAAAATTGTGTTATCTACTGTGACTTAAGTTCTTTGACCTAAGGTTTAGAAATGAGCAGTGAAGAGTCCCTGGGCAAGGCTGTGGCTGCTGGGTCACTTGGCACTCTGCTCAGAGAGCTCTTTCTCTGCTTTTCTGTCACTGTAACCCTCACTGTTATCCTGCATTCTTTCTCAAGTGGTCTGACAGCAAGTGAGATGGGACACAACCCGGGCTGCAGTACCCCTGGCTTCCACTAGCCGCACCGCTCTGCTGCCAGTGAGATGAATGCCCTCAAGTGGATGTGTGTGTGTATAAGTTAGACATTCATACAGCAATGTGCGAGGCCATGAAGGAAGACTGAGATAGCGTAGAGCAGGCGTCTTTCCTAACGGCCACACTGACCTAGGGTAGTCTGGGGCAAACATCTTTCAACAAGTATCTTTAATAGTTTAATAATAATAATTCCAATTATTATTGAAAGGCTAAGTATTGGCTCAGGGTCCCCAAGAGCAAATTCTCTGCACAAAGGAGGCAGAGCACAGGGATAAGTGACAGAGACAGGAGACAGAGGAAAAGCAGAAGGTAAGGAGCCAGGGAGAAGGGACAGGGACATTTGTCCTGGGGACAAAGGACTGCCTCTAGATGGAGAAGACAGACGAGGCCCATAGCAAAATGGCAGTTTATAAAGGTCCAAGGTGAACTCCATGTTAGGGTGAGGTGCTTAATTTTAATTGGGCCTGTTAACTAAGTGAGGCAAAGGGGATTTTTGATTGTTGGCTTCAATACTTGGGTAGCCAGACCTTGATAGTCATCCTCAGGAGGAGGAAGTGGCCAAATAAGGGAATGGACCTTGGGAGATAGCTTTAGGAATGCAATCTAAGGGTTCTTATTCTTAGCAAGACAGAGGGAGGGATGGGGGGAGGCCTGCCAGAGCCCTTCAGTTATTAATCAGACTGATCAGATGGTTCAGTAAGTCTAGGTGCTGGACAGATGGAGTTGATCCGGAGAAGTTATTGTCCCTTGAGTGCTACATTGTGCTGTGGACAAGCACTTGCACACATAAGCGCGTGCACACACACACACACACACTCACACACACACACACACAGAGGAAGATACTTTCCTTCAGTTTTAAATATATAAGTGTACGTACAGTACCATTATGAAAAGCTAGAAATAAAAAGTGGACTTATTGAAACATAGCGCTAATGTGTTGTAGATGTAAAATTGCTCAGTAAAGAATGTATTGCAAACATTACCTGAACGAGGACTACAGGGGTGACATTCACTTCCTCCCCACTGTGAGGAGAAACGTAATAGGATACCTGTGTTTTTTGGCTGCCACAGAATAGGGGAAAGTCAGAGGTAAAGTGAGTTTTGTAATTTTTATCTTAACCAGCAATATCAAGATTATCATTTATAAATAAAGTTATTATGGCATTATTTTACTCTTTGTTCCAAGACTGGTGTTTGACATATATTTTATGCTTCTAGTGCATTTCATTTCAATTTATTATTGCATCCAAAATATATAATCTATATTGAGTTTTGATAAAAGTTGTACTTAAAAATGTAGGTTCACATTTCTTTGCTATTCCAATTATACCAAGACATTTCTTTCAGTGGCTGGGTTGTATTAGGTTTCAAATTTGAGTTTATATTAATTGACATTAAGCGGGCTTGGGTCAGTTGCTCCCCAGCCAGTGTACCGAAGGAAATGAGAACCTGAGTGACTGTGGAGTGGGCAAACCGGGCACCGATGGATGGGCGCTGGGCTCTGTCTCAGGCCAGCCCTGGGCTTCACTTTCGTCCACCCTGGCTCTGTCTCCACAGGATCGTTTCATCTTAGCATGGGATTAGTGTTGTCTCATTTGCTCTTTTGAGCCTCCGTACCCTCTGCCCCACAGTTATTATAACTTTTACTTCTAGCACTTATGCAAGTAAGGCTTCATTTCATTTTTCTTCATAATTAATGCTAGGAGTTTATTATTTTACAACTGGTATTCAACTGTATGTCTGTTCTGTGATGTTTTTAACCTCATTGAGATATTTGGAATGTCTCTCTTGTAGCATGGTTTCTAAAATGATTACAGAATCCTGCACTATACTTATAACCTCTAGTCCTGTTTGTACAGTACATTATATACCTTGCTAATAGCCAATATTAAAAAGGTTAGTAATATTCTCTAGCTTTCTGGAATCCACTGAATAATATTGGTAACATTTTATAGATGCATACTTTTCCTATGTTAGTTTTGAGCTTGGATGTTTCATGCCAGTTACTATTCATGTATTCATTTCTTGTTACAGGAGAAAAGCCTTTCAAATGTGACGAGTGTAACTTCGCCTCTACAACCCAGTCACATTTGACTCGTCATAAGCGTGTGCACACGGGAGAGAAGCCCTACAGGTGTCCTTGGTGTGACTACAGGTAATAAGGTCAGACGTGCCGCTGGAGAACGTTCAGTCTGGCAGAACTTAGCTCTTCTGATGTGCTTTAGTGTACTGTAGTGGGCAGTGCACCCTCGGCAAGGTATCCAATTCCCGACCTCAGTCAAGTTTTAAAACACAGACATTTTTCAGAACAGTCTTAGCCTCACTGTAGAACTGAGAAAGCTGGTGATAGATTTCCTTAAAATAGCCGTTTCCTTCCACTGAAGAGCCTCCTTCTTTAGCCTCTAGGCTATTCATTGCACTTGGCCAACTACACCGATGCTATAGCACAGGCCTTACTTACATAGCACATATCTTGTGCGTGGACATGATGATAGCATGCTTCCACATGATAAAATCATACATACATGTATGTATATATTTCTGTTTTCACAATCCTAGTGCTTAGGTTTTATAATCCCTTCTTCTCCCATGGTTTCGGCATTTGTTTCACTGCTGACTTTTAGGGTGTATTGCTAGCAATCCACTATTCAGCAAGTGTGTGATAAGACCTTGGCTTTGAGCAAAGGCGTTTGTGCGACCGGAAGGTGGGGTAAGGAGTTCTTTCTGCCTGTATGGTGCAGCTGCAGCTCTCGTCACTCGTGAGTGAGTCACGAGAAACAGGTATAACATTGACTGGAGGGGTCTGTGCAAAAGGATGTGTCTGGGCCCACCTTGTCTCTAATCTCAGCTGTGCAGTAGGAGGTGTTGCAGGATCGCCTTTGCGGTGCATATTCCAAGAGGAGGCAGCGGTTGCCTTTCAGTGCCGAGAGCTTGGTGGAGGTCCTGGCTGCTCTGCTCAGCCTGCTCCCTGAGAGGCGCGGTGACAGAGAATGGGAAAGGGAGCTTGTTTCCAGGTCAGGTGGCCCTAGAGAGAGCAGGAGAGAGGAGCCTCATGTGCCGTCTGTGATGCAGTGGACTATAGGCAGCTGAGTGGCACCTGTGTGAGCCAAGGGGCTGTGCCCGGGGCTGTTGCTTTCCACGCTGACTGCCACATACCTCCTTTAGCAGGACAGGGAAACACCAGCCTTCTAATGAGTATTAGAGCATGTGTATTAAATGTGGTGATTTCTTCAAAAGCAGGTTTTTGTATGACTGTGGAGGTAACCTGTGCATTTGGCAAATATATTGCCACAATCTCGATTATCATCCATGTTATTGCATTAATTTTTATGTGAAAGGTCATTGAATAGAACAGAGATATTACAGATATATTTCATTCATTAATTATTTAGTCATTCAACATTTTATGGGCTATGTCTATACATAACACTAGAGTGCTATTTCTTGGAAGTTTGGGGAAATGGCGATCTGATTAGAGGTAGCCTAGAAATTCTAACTTCTTGATGAATATGGAGTCTGTTAAAAAAACATTTTCAAGTCTTTTTTACTTTATTACAGAGCTTATACCATAGCTGTGTTGCCGGTAAAGGAGAAACACAGTTATAAAATGTTCCTTATTAAACCTCGTTTTTTAATTAAATGCTTTAGTTTATACCCTGTGCATATACCCTGTGCTTTGTTCTTATTTTGAAGGAGGAATTTGAGCATAAATTTTCATTCTCATCTTAAGCATGTTGTCACTACCTTTCTGTATCAGCAGCCTTCCTCCAGAACTGTGGTGTCCAGGTTATTTTAAGTGGTAGAGATGTTTCAAATAAGATGATGTACAAAGCTGCCTATAAAATGGTAGAAGTGGTACTCATTCGTAACAAGCATAGTTCAGATCTGTCATGTGTATTCACTACAGCTTAAATGAAAGTATGACACAACAAAGGGTCTTGCGGCGGGGAAGCTGTCTATGGCCATTGCTTGGGTAGCCACGTCTTTGCTGTGGGAAGTGGGGAGGCACAGGCTGTCGGGGTTCAGGGTCAGACACTCTTCAGCTCTTAGGGCAGCCATTGTCATCCGTGGCTTCACTACTGATAAGCCCTCCGTATGGACCCTTGTGGACGTGAGCTTATGCACACACTCAAGTGTCCAATCTGACTGCGTCCAGGCTTCCCAGTTATGACCACTTCTTGCTCAGGAAAGTCTAGCTCTAGTCTAGATGTTGGGTAGTCTACCTCTGCCAGGCCAGCCCATGGCTTTTCCCGTGCCTGTAACACAATGACTACTTAGTGTATATTCTTCAAAGAAGTGAACCTCTGGGAGCATTGGTCTTGAGGTTGAACCTCTGGGAAATGTAACTAAATGGATTTTCAAGCTCCTGTGTGGGCAAGATTTGGGAAGAGTACAGTGTTACAAATGTCCCAGCTCTCGGGGCTGGCACTTGTTCTCATGCTCAGACCCTGTACTTATTTGTCTCGTTTCTGTGCACACATATACTCAGACATACACACGTGCACATGCAGGCAATATACACACACACACACTATTAAATAAATACATCTTTTTTTGAAAAGATGATACCATTTACAATAGCCCCCAGGATCCCAAGTTTCCAGACATTGCTTTAAAAGAAATGTAAATCATTTGCTATGAATGCCATAAGACATTTTTCTTACAATCCTGAGCTTCTAGACAAGGGCTTTGGGTGTGTTAGGTAAACTTTTCACCACACAATTTCAATCTCAGCTGATAAAACATTTTTTAAGAAATAAGATACAAATAAGTCATGATTCATAACACAATTTTCATGAATGAGGCGATGCCAGGTAATTATTAATAATGCTAAATGTTTTCAGGATAACTTACCTATTAAGTATGCTTCAAATTGTTCCCCCCCCCATGCTATTTGGTAGGATGACTATAGATTTTTTTTATATATTATTTAGTTTATTTTAAAACTTCATGTTAAAAAAAATCACAAGTAAATAAAAAATCCACATACCAAAATTAACCAGACATAAAGGTACAACTCAGTGAACTTCTATACAAGTAGAGTGTCCATTTATAATAGGGGTGGTGTAGCCCCATATGGGTTTATTCTTTTACTACCACATATATTTTTATACATTTACCACCACCCCCCACACACACACAGAGTTAGAACACACACACACACACACACACACACACACACACACACACACAGAGTTAGAACACACACACACACACACACACACAGAGTTAGAACACACACACACACACACACAGAGTTAGAACACACACACACACACAGAGTTAGAACACACACACACACACAGAGTTAGAACACACACACACACACACACACAGAGAGTTAGAACACACACACACACACACACAGAGTTAGAACACACACACACACACACACACACACACACACACACACACACAGCGTTAGAACTAGAAAAGCATTGTTTTTTTTCTTAAGTATAGAAACAGGGAACAGGATGACCAGCACAGTCAAGAGCGGGGCTTCTTAAGCTGTCTCTTCTGGTAACTAAACCACTTCTGGCCAAAGAAATAGTACTGAGTGCAGGATGTATGTGTGTACAAAATTAGAATACTGATCAACTCTCACTGATATTTAATATTAGACGATTTAAAGAATTTTTGTTATACACATGATTCTACATTAAGAAAAGCAATTTGCATCCTAATGATGGGTTGATGGGTGCGCCTGTTCATTGTTACATGCGTAAATAATGTGCTTAGATTGTGCGTGGGGGCCTCGTCAGTGTTTTCCATAATTGATCATAGTCGGATTTCTTGAACTTAAGTACTCAGCACCACTAATACTATATGATGCAAAGGCACCCTAATTTAATATTTTCATGTCTAGGACTGACAGTAGGAAAATATTAAGGCTTTTTTTAAATAAACCATTATGTTTTTATGATAGTAAAAAATTGTATGGACAGTAAAAACACCATTTAAACATACCACAGTCTTGAATTCAACAGGAAGCATTTGAACTCTCTTGGAGCAGAGACATGTGGAGTACTAAGCATGCTTCTTGTGTGTTCAGCAGCGTTGTTACAATGGTGTCGTGACATGTCACTTGCCAGAAAAACCTGTGCTCCACTGTGAGTTTGAGTTTGATTTTGTGTGTGTGTGTGTGTGTGTGTGTGTGTGTGTATGGGCAGAGTTATTGGGGGTCCAGAAATCTTTTATGATTTCTAGAATTTTTGTGAGCCTCCACATTCCCAGATTCATTAACACCATGTAGGAAGCTAGGACCTAGGCAAGCCTGGCGTGTGGAGGTACATAGCAAACCCAAATGTCTGTTTGCCATTCGTTTTATATTTTAGCAAGACCATAGATTTCATTCCATCTTTCAGTCACAGGTCATGTGCAGAGTGTTAACTACAGCTTCCATGTCCTGCACATCTATGGTGTGTGGAAATTTTGTTCATAATCCATTTCAAGACTGAATCTTAATAAGTTCCTACAATACTTAGAAATTATTAAAATCCAAAATGAATTCCCTTATAATTGCTGGGACAGTTTGCTGTTTCAAAATGCCTCAGTTGGAAATCATTCTCCTGTAACACAATTGTAACACCTATGTGACCTCAAGACACACTGACTTGCAATGATCAGTATATTAAATACTTTATACTTTATACATGTCTATTACTTATGTTGTATTTTATGGCATATACTTATGGCTTAAACTTAGGGGTTTATGCTGAATATTACTTAAAGGTCTTATTGCATGCTGATGACTTAGAGTTAAGTTTTTAGATTTTAGGATGAAGTCTTTTGACAGAGTTTATCATTTGGATCTTTTTTGTCAGTGCACTTCGGTAGACTCATGGTCCTTGTATGCACAGGTGTATTTCCTCATACTTCTGATTCTCTTGGTTTGAAAGAACGTTGTACCCTTTGTTAAGGTTAAGGTCATAGTATGTGTCCCCAGTGCACCTTGTGTCATACAAAAGCATCCCTGATTCACAGTAGCTCCTGTGTGCCTGCTGACACTGTCTTTGCATCCTGTGAGACGCTGTTGAAGAGCAGATAGCGTTTTCTTAGGAATGGCTCCACTGTCTGTGAATTAATTCCCGGGTACTTTTATCCATTAAGTCACTTTTTCAAATATTTCCTGTAAAGGTTGATTTTTGTCTTTTT